TCAAACACTCCCAGGACAGGGACAGCACGGGGTTAGATACAGAGTAAAGCTCCCTGTACAATTCCCCCATTAACCACTCTGCCAGGTGTCTCAGTATGGGATCTTGGCTTTTGGTACTCACTAAGTGTGGTTGGGCCCATTCCTTTTAACACGGCCCGCCTGCCCGTGCTCTCTATCAGCGCTTGCACCTCCCCAGATGTCAGTGTCGTGTCGATTAGTACCTGCTCTGTGCTGACATCAATATCCACCGATTGGATTCCTGCAAGTAATCGGAGGCAAGTCATTAAGAGAACAGCTTTTGCGCCAACAGCATTCTCTATACCAGCTGTCCTAAACCCAGATGGGGAGCTGGGGGGAATGGACTTGTTGCAGCTATTGATATGCCTCTTGTCCCCCGTCGACATTTGAACCCCACTCCCTCTGCCAAAGTAGTACTAGTTTGCCCAGTAACAATTATTTTGGTGAATTATGACACTCCTACACCGATGCACAGACAGACACATACACACCTAGAGACAGGGTCCCTTCCTGACAGCACTGTGTTCCCCCAACACCACACATGGTTCAGTCACTCAGAGACAGCAAGAACTGCAGATGCTGGGGTCACAGTCAATACAGCGTGGAGCTGGAGGAACGCAGTATCAGAGGAGCAGGAGAGTCGACGTTTCGGGTTTATACCCTTCATCAGGGCTCACGGAGTCTGCCGCGTTCCTCCAGCTCCACAGAGCAGGACCCGCCGCGTTCCTCCAGCTCCACGCTGTATTGACCCAGACATGGTTCATGAAGGTGCCTCACCACTAAGTTCTCAATGACAATCAGTCTTGGGCAATAAATGCTGGGACTAGCGAGTGCTGTTCACATCCCCCGAGCGAATCACAGTGAAAACTGGAGGAGCATCATCTCATCTTCAAACTAGGCACTTTACAACCTTCTGGGCTCAATGTTGAGTTCAACACCTTCAGATTGGGAACCCATTCCTTCCCTTTCTTTTAGCTTTGCTTGTTACATTCTTCATCACCATGTCGTCTGCACTCCCGCTCCCTTCCCCAACCACCCCGCCGACCCCAACACCCATCCCCCAACCCCAACCCTCCCAACCGATCCCCCCAACCTGACCCGACCCGACCCGACTGACCACCCCAACCTGACCCCCCCGACCCGAAACCACTACCCCCCCGACCTGACCCCCTCCACCCCCACCACCGACCTCGCCGCCAACCACACCCCGCCACCCCACCACCAACTCCAGTGGGGACTGTCTGTTCTTTCCAGTCTGGCAGTGAGACACACCATTTTTCTGCCCATTCTCACATTCCCATCAATAAACCTGACCTATCAACATCCTTTCTCCATCAGCACTCCAACCTACAAAACCACCCTCCCCCCCAACTATAGCATAAATGCTGTCCCCTCCACACCTCACGTCAGCTCTGATGAAGAGACATCTAGACTCGAATCGTTAGCTTGTTCTCTCTCCATGGATGCTGCCTGACCTACGGTGATCTCCAGCATTTTATTGTTTTCAACAACTAGCTCAGTTGCACAGGGAATGACGTACACACACCCAAACTGACAAACATGCAATCTCTCACACACACATTTTCACACACACACACACCCACCCCATGTCATTCTCTCTCCCCAGATGCAGCCATTCACAGTGATGTGCATGTATAAGATACAATTCTGCCAAGGTATACACACGCTGAAACATTGGCACACACACATAATGAGTTACACATTCAAAGTGACACACACTCAATACCATACAGAACATACAAACATATAAACTGGAGTAGGCCATTCAGCACCTGCTCTGCTATCCAATAAGATCATGGCTGATCCGATGCTCTATATTCTCACCTATAACCTTTCACCCCCTCGCTCAACACAAATCTACCTATCTCTGCCTTAAAATATTCAAAGATTCTGTATCCACTGCCTTTCGCAGAACAGCATTCCAAACACATTCAAACCTCGGGGATTAAAACAAAATCTCCTTCTCCCCACTTTAATCAGATGACTGCATATTTTGTAACATAGACCCTACGTTCGAAGTTCTCCCACAAGAGAAAACAATCCTTTCCACCCATGAACAGGGGAAGGCAGCAGTATAATGGTAATGCTACTGGGGCAGCAATCCAGAGGCCCAGCCTAATGTTCTGGGATAAGGGTTCAAATCCCACCATGGCAGATGCTGAAATTTGAATTTGATTAAAAATCTGAAAATAAAATGCCAGCCGAATGGCGACCCCCTGTTGTAAAAACCCATCTAATGCCCTTTAGAGAGGGAAATCTGCCAGCCTTACCCCAGTGTGGCCTCTATGTGATGCCACACCTCTTAACTACACTCTGCAATGGACAGGCAAACATCTCAGTTTAAGGGGCAATTAGGGATGGGCAATAAATGCTAATGCAATGCCTACAGCCAACGAACAAACTTTTTAAAAGGTCCCCTCTGGCTATTGTGTGTTTCAATCAAGCCATCTCTTATTTTCCTAAATGCAAACATGAAAAATAGAGAGGCAGCTTTCAGGATTAGTGTCCAGCCAGCAATGTCATTCAATAAAACCATGACTGGTCTGTTTGTGTTTCAAAATTCCACGTTCCCAGCTACCCCCGATGGCCTTTGATTCCCTTCCCCTTAGATTCAAGAATCTCCCTCTTCCACCTTGAAAAAGTAGAGTGACCTGGCACGGTGGCTCAGTGGTTAGCGCTGCTGCCTCACAGCGCCAGGGACCCAAGTTCGATCCCACCCTCGGGCGACGGTCTGTGTGGAGTTCGCACATTCTCCCCGTGTCTGCGCGCATTCCCTCCGGGTCCTCCGGTTTCCTCCCACAGTGCAAAGGTGTGCAGGTTATTGTGGATTGGCTAGGCTAAATTGTCCCATAGTGTCCAGGGATGTGCAGGTTAGGGTGGATTGGCCGTGCTAAATTGTCCCATAGTGTCCAGGAATGGGCAGGTTAGGGTGGGTTGGCCGTGCTAAATTGTCCCATAGTGTTCAAGGACGCGGAGGCTAGGTGGGCTAGCCATGGGAAACGTGGGATTGCGGGTCTTAGTTAAACAGGAGTTCCCTCTTGACACTACCACGCGGCCCCTTCCCAGATACCTCCAGTTTTCTAAGTGCTCAGCTATAGCGATCAATGCTAACACTTTCCCCACAACAGAGGTCAAGTTAGCTGGCCTATGTGAATTTCAAGAAGCAAGGCAGGAAACCAATGTCACACATACACACCCTCCACTGACACACACAGATGCTTACAGACAACTGTGTGCATACACACAGTTTCCCCAATGACGCACATCTGTAGGTGACAGCATAGAATTACAAAGCAGTATTGATAGACCTGGCGAAAGGGCAGACAGATTGCAATATAAGTAAATGCGAGGTCATCCACTTTGCACCGATAAAGGATAGATTAGGGGGATTTCTAGATGGTATGAAATCAAACACAATGGATGTCCAAAGACACTTGGGGGTTCAGGAGCACAGATCTTTAAAATACCACCAGCAGGCAGGGAAAGTAATCAAGGCAGCTAACAGAATGCTGGCATTTATAAGCGAGGGGACAAGAGTATAAGGATGCAGACAATATGCTACAGTTTTCAAAAAAAAAAACCCTGGTTAGACCCCACATGGAGTACTGTGAGCAGATCTGGACACCTTAGAAAGGACATATTGGCCTTGGAGGGAGTACAGGTACAATGTAGGTTTACAAGAGTGATACCTGGACTACAGGGGTTAAGTTATCATCGTCATCATCATCGAATCCCTACAGCGTGGAAACAGGCCCTTCGGCCCAACAAGTCCACACTGACCCTCGGAGCATCCCACCCAGACCCATGAGGAGAGATTACACAAATTAGGCCCGTTTCCTCTGGAATTTAGAAGGTTAAGACATCATCTGACTGAAATCTTCATTCCATTTACAGGAAAAGACAGAGTGGATAAACTATTTCCACTGGTTGGGGATTAGGGGGCACCGTTTTGAGAACTGGGGCCAGACTATTCAGAAGACACGTTAGGGAGCACTTATGCATACAAAGAATCATAAAATCCCAGCGTGGAAGCAGGTCATTCAGCCAATCAAATACTGATGCTCTGGAGAACATCCCACTCCTTCCCTATCCCTGTAACCCTGCATTTCTCATGGCTAACCCACCTAACCTGTACATCCGTGGACAGGAAGGGCAATTTAGCACAGCCAATCCATCCTAACCTGCACATCCCTGGGCACTATGGGGTAATTTAGCACAACCAATCCACCCTAACCTGCACATCCCTGGACACTATGGGGCAATTTAGCACGGCCAATCCACCCTAACCTGCACATCCCTGGGCACTGTGGGGCAATTTAACATGGCTAATCCACCCTACGCTGTACATCTTTGGACCATGGGAGGAAACTCCACACAGATAATCACGCGAGGGTGGAATCGAACCTGGGTCCCTGGCACTGTGAGGCAGCTGTGCTAACCACTGAGTCACCATGCCGTCCCAAAGGATGGTAGAGGTTTGGAACTCTCTTGCACAGATGACAGTCGACACCAGATCCATTGTTAGTTTCAAATCTGAGATAGATACATTTTTGTCAAGCAAAAGGATACAGAGTTAGGCCACAGATCAGCCATGTTTTCATTGAATGGTGGAACTGGCTCGAGGGGCTGAAAGGCCTACTCCTATCTTCACTGATGCACAGAGACATACAAACACTTGAGGGTTCACCTCAGTGATAGCTCAGAGAGACGCAAGCCTCCTGAATCAGAGCACAGGGAGAAGAGGGTGCTTTAACTCATGAAAGATTGGAAGATTGCAATCTCAGGACGAAACTTACCATTAACCCCAGTCAAGGCACTTCGGATGGCATTGGCACAACTCTCACAGCTCATCTGCACTGCAAACTCCAACTAAATTTAAAAATAAAATAAAGACAGCGGAAAAACTTGCATTTGTACAGCACCTGTAATGTGGGAAAACATCCCCAGACTCTTCAGACAGGTAACACCAAGCCCTGAGCCGCAAAGTTAAATTCACAAGGAGCGATGCTTCAAAAATTTAGTCAACAAAAAAAAAAATAGGTTTTACAGGGCGTCTTAAAGGAAGAGAGAGGTAGTGAGGTTTAGGGAGGGAATTCCAGAACTTAGGGTCCCCCAGGTGGCTGAAGTTACAGCCACCGCCAAAGATAGGGCAACAGTAAATGGGGGTTGCTCAAGAGGCTAGAACTGGAGAAACATAGATATCTCGGAGGGTTGTGGGGGTTGGAAAAGGCCTGGGAGGGATTTGAAAATGAGGATGAGGTCTTTAAATTCAGGAGTGTGATGGAATACTCCCCACTTGCCCCTGGATGGGGGCAGCTCCAACAACGCTCAAGAAACTAGACACCATCCAGGACAAAGCAGCCCCCGCTTGATTAGTACCACATCCACAAGCATCCTACTCCCTCCACCCACTTAGTCGCAGCAGTGTGTATCATCTACAAGGTGCACTGCAGAAATTTACCAAAAATCCTCACACAGCACCTTCCAACCCCACGACCACTTCCATACTGAAGGACGAGGGGAGTAGATACATGGGAACACCAACCCCTGCAAGTTCCCCTCCAAGCTACTCACCATCCCGACTTGGAAATATATCACCATTCCTTCACTGTCAACTGGGTCAAAATCCTGGAATTCCCTCCCTTATGGGATTGTGGGTCAACCTACAGCAGGTGGACTGCAGCAGTACAAGAAGGCAGCTCACCACCACCTTCTCAAGGGGGCAACTAGGGACGGGCAATAAATGCTGGGCACAGCCAGCGACACCCACATCCCACAATTGAATAAAATTTTTTAAAAGGGCCCCTGAATTGGGAGTGAACATGGATCTAAGAGCACAATGGGTGAACAGGAGTTGGTGTATGGTGAGGGCTAAATATCGATCGAGGAAGGGATCAAGATTACAAGGAAGGTGTGAGGGCATGCAAGATTCAGGGTCCAAGGAACTAAAGACACATAGCCAGAGACTCTATCAAATGACACAATACAATACACAATAAAAACTAATTTGACCGTTTCTCTTCCTAACAAGATAACTTGCACAGGGTTCCACCCCTACGTGTGACCTCCAGTCAGCCGTTTGCAAAACTTGGTGGTGGCTGTTCGACTGCGTAAGGCATCACACCGTGGCTATTCAGGCCCAGCTCTGCAGGTGCATGCCGGCTCACTTTCCTTAACAGTATGATCAGAAGCAGGAATGTGCTGTTTCTGCATTTGACTTCCTGCCCGACAATTCTGTGTCGGTGTCTATCACAGCATGCCCCCCCACCCATAAAAAAACCCATCCGTTCTCATCTGTCGCCAGCCTACAAGGAACAGGTGATAGCTCGCCTACGCCAGCCTGCACGGATCAGTGACGCCTTTTGCAGTCGAACAGCTGCAGTGGGGGGGGGGTGGTTGACGTTAGGCCGCTTGATGCCATCCAGACCGGGCGAACAAGGGGCTTGAAAAAACAGTAGAAAGCTCTGAGGCTCGGTCACGACGGAGGGAAGTCAGGGGCTTATTACAGCCACCCCCGAGATGCATTTATATAGCACCTCTCGCCACCCCGGGGGGTGGTGGACGTCCTAAAATGCCTTGCAGCCAACGAAAGGCATGGCGGAACGCGGCAGCTATTTTGCGCACAGTAAGCTCCCACAAACAGCAAGCTGTTCCAAAGCAAGGTCCTCTGCATGCCGCCCCCAAAATGAGGAGTGCACCTTCGGCAGTGCAGCACACCAGCGGTTACCTTGAGATAACCCAACTCACTTACAAAATGACTGTCCCTGACTCCCTAAATCAAACAATGACTCGGCGTCTATTTCTCTGAAACCTTCTCCCACTTATAAAGAGACTGAACCGTTCTTTTTTTCCAGTAAGCAGTCCCTTCCTCCCTCCTCAAAACCAACCCCGGCGAAGGAAATCAAAAAACACTTGAAATTACGAAATGTAATAACAACATAGGGGCGACTTTAAATATTCTAACCCCATGTGTCAAGACGGGGAGAGAGAGGGCTGTGTTGTAAACCGAGACAAAAGTGCGTGCAGTTTTAGCAATCACAGGCACTTCGTACTGCAACAGAGATTAAGAGTATCCTTCAATTTCACACAAAGATTAAACACTTCACGCTCAAATATTGCCTTTCAGACAGCCTGCTACCTTGCTGCTGGTTGCTGCCATGTTGAATAATTTACTTGACCCAGTCGAAAATCCCTTCCGGCTTCTGACTCTCACTTATCTCCTGCTTCTGCAATCCCTCATCGTTAAAACAGGCCATGCATTTTATTTTCAGTCTCTGCAACTGCATTCCAGAAACACAGGCACGTATAAATTTCAAGTTTTGTACAAGTTGAGACTCATTGAAAAGAAATGTCAAATTTTTAGGTGTTTTTCTAACCAACCCTGCTCAGAGATATCGTGAGCTTTTCAAGCAATTTCTGTTTCTGATTTATACAGCACCCGCAGTTCTTTCGGTTCGCGTTTATTCTGAGTAGAAATTCTGTGGAATGAGCTGCCAGAGGAAGTGGTGGAGGCGAGTACAGTTACAACGTTTAAAAGGCATCTGGCTGGGCACATGAACAGGAAGGGTTTAGAGGGATATGGGCCAAGTGCTGGCAAATTGGACCAGATTAATTTAGGATATCTGGTTGGAATGGACTAATTGGACTGAAAGGTCTGATTCTGTGCTGTACATCACTATGAGTCTATGAATGGCTACTCTTGATCCTGTGAGCTAGATTACACACCTCGAAGAGAAGGTGGGACATGAACAGGGGCCTGCTGGTTCAGAGGTAGGGTCATTACCACTGAGCCATTTGAACCCTAAAAAAAACTTTGAATCTTGCACAGTCTCCTGAGGGTGCTACTCACTGAGCTAATTCTACAACCAGCCCACCAAGTTACTGATGTTCTTTCCCAAAACCCATTTTGTCAGTCCCACAGCCTCCTATATCTCAGAGTCAAAAAACACTCCCTCAATTTTTTTTACATATTCTACCCCAGTAATTCCTTCTCTTAGCCTCACATTCCCATCCTTTAATATCACAGCCAGACTAATCCCATTCTCGTTCTTACTCTCCAACTCTTTAATATTGCACCCCTGTATCTCCACACCCTTTAATATTCCACCATCTAATTCTCCGCACTCTTTAAAATTTCTCTCAGTCTCCCTTTTATTCCCTGCATTCTTTAATCACTCACCCAGTCTAAATCCACTCTTCCCCTCACTCCCTGCACCCTCTCAGATCCCACCCAGTGTAATCATGTTCAGACCCTTACATTGTTTAATATCCTATCCCATCTAATTCCCCTCTCTATCCCACTGCCCCATATCCTTTAATGTCCCAACCAGTCTCATCCTACACGTTTTTGTAACAAAGTCAGTCGGGTGGACCTCATAGAATATGAGTTCCCTGATTGGGGCTGTTAACCTGGTCCAATCAGGGAGCCCTGGCTGACAGATATAAACAGGAGTGTCACAGGCTCAGCTCACTCTGTGTTGAGGATGGTCCATGTGTAAATAATGGGTGACTTGGTAACAGGATACTGTCCTCTGTAGAGTTATTTCACCTTTAATATCTCAGTGTAACGCTACTCAACCATTCACCATTTAATATTCCACCTGGTCCAATGCTATTCTCCCCTCACATTCCAAATCTTTTAATATCTTCCTCGTCTGTTTGTGATATATATAAATGACTTGGATGAAAATGTAGATGGGTGGGTTAGTAAGTTTGCAGACGATACAAAGGCCAGTGGAGTTGTGGCTAGTGTAGAAGGTTGTCAAAGGATACAGCGGGATATAGATCAGTTGCAGATATGGATGGAGAAATGGCAGATGGAGTTTAATCCAGGTAAATGTGAGGTGCTGTATTTTGGGAGAGCAGATTTTAAGGAAAAGTATACAGTAAATGGCAGGACTCTGAAGAGCGTTGATGCACAGAAGGATCTTGGAGCTCAAGTCCATAGCTCCCTGAAAGTGGCCACGCAAGTAGATAGGGTGGTAAAGAAGGCGTATTGCATGCTTGTCTTTTTTGGTTGAGAAATTGAGTACAAGAGTCAGAACGTCATGTTGCAGCTTTATATGACTTTGGTTAGACCACACTTTTGAGTTTTGCGTTCAGTTCTGGTCGCCACATTATAGGAAGGATGTGGAGGCTTTGGAGAGGGTGCAGAAGAGGTTTACCGGGATGCTGCCTGGTTTAGTGGGTAGAAGCTACAAGGAGAAGCTAGAAAAACTCGGGTTGTTTTCTCTGCAGCAGTGGAGGCTGAGGGGAGACTTGATAGAACTCTAAAATTATGAGATGTATAGATAGGGCTGACAGTCAGCATCTTTTTCCCAGAGTTGAAATGTCTAATACCAGGGGGCGTGCATTTAAGGTGAGACGGGGGGAATTCAAAGGAGATGTGAGGGGCACGTTTTTTACACAGAGAGTGGTAGGAGCCTGGAACACACTGCCGGTGGTGGTGGAGGCAGATACGATAGGGGCATCTAAAGGACTTTTAGATAAGCACATAAATATGCAAGGAATGGAGAGATACGGACCAAGGGCAAGCAGAAGAGATTAGTTTAATTTGGTGTCATGTTCGGCACAACTTTGTGTGCTGAAGGGCCCGTTCCTATGCTGTACTGTCCTATGTCCTAATCCACTATCCCCTTCACTGCCTGCATCCCTTAAATGCCATCTGGACGAAACCCATTCTGCCCCCCACTTACACTCCAGCCTCTTTATATCTCACCGAATCTAATCATATTCTCCCGTCATTCTGCACACCCTTATATAATTCACTGTCTAATCCCATTCTGCTCCTCAGTACTTGTATCCTTCAATATTCGACTCAGTCTATCTCACTCTGCCCATTCTCCCCATACCCTGTAACATCTCACCCAATCTATTCCCACTGTCCCCTCACACATTGATATTCCCAATTAATCTTACCTCTCTTTCTGCTTTAGTGCCCCACCTGTTCTAATTTCACGTTCTTGTGAAATGCACTTATTTCCTGTGGCTTTTGTGAATAGAGGAGGAATGGTTAGTAAGTTTGCAGATGACACCGAAATAAATGGTGTAGTGGGCAGTGAAGAAGGTTATCTCACATTGCAATGGGAGTTTGATCAGATGGGCAAAGGAGTGGCAGGTGGAGTTTAATTTATATAAATGAGAGGTGTTGCATTTTGGTAAGGCACATCAGGGCAGGACTTATATACTTAATGGTAGGGTCCGAGAGAGCGGTGCTGAACAAAGAGACCTTGGAGTGCAGGTTCAGAGTTCCTTGAAGGTGGAGTCACAGGCAGACAGGGTAGTGAAGAAGGTGTTTGGTACATTTGCTTCATTGGTCAGTACATTGAGTATAGGAGTTGGGAGGTCATGTTGCAGCTGTACAGGACATTGGTTTGGCCACTTTTGGAATATTGCATTCAATTCTGCTCTCCCTGTTGTAAGAAAGATGTTGTGAAACTTGAGAGGGTGCAGAAAAGATTTACAAGGGTGTTGACAAAATTGGAGGGTTTTATCTATAGGTAGAGGCAGAATAGACTGGGGCTATTTTCCCTGCAGCGTCAGACTAAGGGGTGACCTTACAGAGGTTAAAAAATAATGACAGGCATCAATAGGGTAAATAGCC